GGCGATGAGGCAAAGGGCCAAAAGTGATTCAGGTATTAGTAATATTCTTAAGTTCATCAAGTTCAAGTAATCAAGTAATCCTATTATTTATTTTTTATTTTATTCTATATCTTTGCTGCCCATTGGTGGAGCAAACATGGGTTTAGTTCTCCAAATTTACAAAAGTGGGCCATTCGGATCTTAAACCTAACCACTTCATCCAGTTGTGAGTGCAATTAGAGTACTTTTGAAGGGGTAAGGCCGTAAGGGTAATTTGTATAATTTTATAAATAATACATGAACCATAGATATTAGATTTTAATTAGTTTCATTTGATTTTGTTAGATTCATAGAAAAAAAATGAACAGCCTTGAATCAAAGAGGCTCAATGACCTAGTCTATATCAAGTACAATCGATTCTTGAATGACAGGTTTGCTAAGAGAGATAAGAGAGACCACATCAAATCAAAAAATATGGACCATGTTATGGAGTGGTTAGTTGATGATGATGAGGTCGAAGGGTATGAAGGATTGACATCGGACATGGTCATGGAAACTTGAAGGACATCAGTTGACCCTCCTAGAGCAACTATATTTCTGCACAGAGAACGAGGATGGAGGAAGAGGAGGAAGAAGAGGCTGATTCAAAAGAGACGGAGGAGGACGGGGACGACCAATATGATGCCAATGCAGCTGACCCTAGATTTTTTGATGATGAATGAATGATGAATGAATGATGAATGTTGATTGTTGAATAATTATTAAACTTTGAAGTTTAAACTTTGATTGAAGTATTGTGTATTGAACTATTGAAGATTTTTTTGAGTCTTCAAATATTAGTTTCATTTTCATAGTTAACAATTTTGTTTTCTTCCTCATGGTAGTGTACTGCAGTTCTGGTGTGATACTATTTGATAACCTGGTTTGATAATTTGATTAGTTGTAAATTTTAAGTTTTAATTGAATTATGGATGTGGAGTATGAACCGACTTATGGATTATGATTATGGTTATGTTTATGGAGTATGTGAAAAATTCTAATATGTAGTATACTTTGAATTATGTTGTGCAATACATATAACTAATACTGACATAACTTCACTGCAGAATCCTTATTGGGATTCAACTGGGCTGCCCAGGTTCTGGGTGCCCTCCTAGGCGTTGGGCAGCTTGAACCTCCCCGGCCGCCTAGGACCCGCCTAGCGCTTTTTGAAACATTACGTATAAGGCTAAAAATCTTGCATCATGAAACAAATAAATCAATTTAACCTATGTTGTATGAAACCCCATTTCAGATCCGCTAGATTTTTGTCTTTTCTTTTCTTTTTCTTCTGATAGTTAACCCAATTTAAGATCCTTGCGCAATAAGAATTGTGTAGATAGAAAGGCAAAGATTTCAAACACCTCAAGATGATAACATAATAATAGCTTCTTCTTCTTCTGGTCACAATCACTCCATTCTCTGCGTCTGGTTGCTGCCCAATATCGTATCCTTCTAATTCTCTTCAAACTATGATAATAAGAGCACGAAACAAAAGGTATAGGTTATCACTCATCAGCGTACTTATAATTACAGAAGTGTACATCAAACAAGTATATAAATTGACTGATGAAAGAGGCTTATACATTAAAACGAGCAAGAGAGGCATATCAAGATATACAAAATTTCCATCCACACTACATGCAGAATGCAATTGCAGGTACACAAGCACATAAAGAAAGACTGCATTAACAAAAAAGTTTAACTCCTTCATTCACATGGAGGATAACCAAGGCCACAAGAATCAAAGTACTAAGTAACAACCTTTAAAGGCCATGCAAAATGAACTGTATTGAATAGGCAGGCAAGCAATTCAACACTTGGAGGTGGTACCATCTTCACAACAGCTTCTTTAACTTGGTCTGTACGTTGGATCCCATTCTCGGAGCTTGAACTATTACTTCCCAAAATCTGATCCTTTTGGCACATAACAACCTTTGGTTCTGCGAGAACAAAACAAAAAGCACGGTACCATCAGCGTACAAAGGGAGCATCATTAGTGTTCATCCAATAAATATAAACAAAACTGATAGAAAAGGGAGGAACAAGGATCAAAATACAAAGTAGAAGTAGCATAGCGCAATATATGGTTTCCAATGGACTCTAGATGCACAACTAAAACACGCATAATATAAGATATTTATATATTATATAATATAATAATATAGATAATATCCACATAAATCATTGCACCATTGATTTAATTTCACAAATTGCAATTGGAAGTTACTTGATGAGTGACTGTCGTATGCAATGGAACAATTATTATTGGAGGAACGCACAATGTCGGATCCAGAGGAACGGGAAGTTGTCTAAAGCAGCTCCTCCATTGCATAGACTTTACCTATGACGCTTGAAAGAGAACCAAATTTCCTCTAGAAGGTTTAGGAGAATCTACGGGAAATGACATTCAGATAAAGAAATTTGGTGGCAGAGTGATGAAGTTCAAAAGGCTATTAAAAAAAAAATACAAAGTTTGGCAATGGAATATAAATGATCAAAACTTAGAAGAATACAAAAATGCCAAGAAGAACGCTAAGAAAATAGTAAGGCTAAGCTTACAGCGTATGATGATCTATATAATAAATTGGAGACAAGAGAAGGAGAAAAAGATGTCCTCAAATTAACAAAAATGAGAGAGAGGAAGTGTACCGGTCAAGATCATGTTAAATGCATTATGAGTGAGGACTAGAGGGTCTTGGTGAATGATGATGAAGTCAATAAAAGGTGGATAAGTTATTTTCAAATATTGTTAAATGGCAACCACTATGGGAGCACAACATTAGGAGGAACTTTTCACATAAATGAAGTCAAAGGTCATAAATACATTTGTAGGATTAGGATATATAAAGTAACAAAAGCTTTGAGAAGATGAAGATCGACCAGATGGTATCCCTATAGAGGTTTGGAAGTGCAAGGTAGATATTGAGATATCCTAGTTGACCAAGATGTTCAACAAGATTTTGAGAATAAAGAATAAGTCATACGAATGAAAAAAAAGTATTTTATCACCTGCTTACAAGAACAAATGATACATACAGAATTACACAAACTATTGAGGGATCAAACCTATGGGCCACACTATAGAGTTCTATAAAAGAGTGATTGAGAAACGATTACGATATGAAATGAGCGTATTAGAAAATTACTTCAGTGTTATGCTAGGGAGGTCAACCATTGAGGCTATTTTCCTACTTAGGAAAGTGATAGGGAGAAGAGAAAAAACCTCCACATGCTCTAAGAAAACATAGGTACGATGTGGCTCTGATTGGAAAAAGAAAGGAGTCTCTAGGGGATATATTAACATGGGGAGAGATATGTACAGCATAGCGTTGATTGATGAGACTAAACACAACGTCAATGCAAAGTTAAAACTTTGGAGGGATGCATTAGAATAAAAAAGTTTTAAACTAGCCAGACTAAGATAGAATACATGGAATGCATGTTTAGTGATAATAGGAGTAAAAACGAAGAATTAGTTAAGATTGATAGCTAACAAGTACCTAAAAGATATTATTTTTTATATCTTGGGTTGATAATCCATGAGAATGGAGAAATTGAGGAAGATCATCATCATTATAGCCTTTTCCCAATTAATTGGGGTCGGCTATACAAATCTTGGTCCGTCATTCTGCTCTATTAAAGACCATACCTTAAGTGAGGTTATAAGTCCCCATATCTTTTCAGATTACTTCCAACCACGTCCTTTTGAACCTATCCCTTGCCCTTCTCAGTCCTTCCACTTGAACTGGCTTGCACCTCCTAACAGGTGTTCTACTTGGTCGGCACCACACACGGCCAGGTAACCTAAGTCTACTCTCTCTCATCTTATCCCCCATTGGTGCCACACCTAAATTCTTTCGAATGGATTCATTTCGAATTATATCCCTTCTTGTCTTGCTACTCATCTATCTCAACATCCTCATCTCCACTACACTTATTCTATGGGTATATCGTTTTTTGTCCGCCCAACATTCCGCCCCATAGAGCAAAAGTAGTCTCACAGTTGTCCTATAGAACTTGCCCTTCAACTTCATTGGAATGTGACGATCACAAATTGAGGAAGATGTCGCGCACTAAATTAGAGCTAGGTGGACGAAGAGGAGATGTGCTTTTGGAGTCTTATGAGATCGTTGCATACTAATGATATCGAAGGGGAAGTTCTATAGGACAATTATAAGACCAACTATGTTTTATAGACAGAATATTGGGCAGTCAAGAAATAACATATCCATAAAATGAGTGTGACTAATCCCAAATAGTTGGGATAAGGCTTGGATGATGATGATGTTAGCTCTTTAAATATTAGATTATAACATAAGTGCTTAATATTTGTCGAGAGATTTTATTCTTTTTTATAATCAATGGATGTTGATTGTTGATTTAATTTGTATTTGAAAAATTCTTTAAACTTGCATGGTGGTCCCAATTTGGCAGCCAAGTTCGTGAGCTATAATGCTTTCCGATTAAAATTTTGAGCCAAAATTGTAGTGCTACCAGTTGTAAAAGCAAATGGAGTGTCTTTGAGCACATCATATAAAGGCGACAAATAAACTAGAATATAAGCATCTATATGAGCTATTGTTTATCCATTACAATTTGAAGCTATGAGAAAGGTAACTCACAACTTACAATTCATATTTTATGGTTTATTTTTGCGTTCTATTTTATGACAATTTTGTAAATTGTAATCATGTGATGTAGGCAACTAAAAGAAAAAGGTGATCAACCACAAAGCTCATTTGCCTAGCCTATATCCATAATACGGATGAGGGGTCATGGAGATTCTAGGATCCTTGAGGAAGAATGCAGAACTTGAGCGAGAAGACTTGCAATGGGCAGAAGTTGAGCAACTAAGAGTAGAGGAGGGGACAAATGTTGCCCAGTGGTGATGAGGAGGAAAACAATGTTGTTGGATTCAGTGTGCTAATGCTTCTTAGCTTCAACGATGATATGATGACCAGGACTAGAACTATGATATAAAGCTTGCTAACTTTTTTTTTGGGGTCTTTGACTGTGGAAGTATGAATTACACAATAAGTTATGTGCAAAATGAGAATGGAACTTAGATCTGGTATATTGGCTTGCATTTCTTTGAATACCACGCATGTGTGTGAGAGATATTTTGTTAACTCATTTGATTGTGAATTTGTGTATTCATGGTTCTTGTCCTTATCATTTGCCAATTTTCGTATGGTGATTGGTAAAATGGTGGATGTTCACAATTTTGCTTCTTCATGATTACGTTAATTATGGACTGTGAATGTTATTAGCTTGATCATAAGTATTCTATACAGTAAGTAATAAAACTTGATTTTAGATGTGTGTGAAAAAATTCTATATTTTTGTCTTTTCAGTTTTTTCTTACCCAAATCAGCCCAAGTGCTAAAGCCAAGTCCCTAGCCTCGAAAGCGATTGCAAAGCCAAAGAAGCCTCCAAAGAGACATTGAACTAGGGTACAGAGGAAAATCCCTGCATTTTAGCCTGGCCACTCCTTATTTTTCTACTTGCACGACTCCCACTCATAAAAAGTAAACCAAATTTCCCAGGGAAAGGCAACAGCAGACGATGAGATTGATACAAGACAAATTCAGACGATAAGATTGATAAAAGACAACTTCAAGAATCATAACCACGAAAAACATTATCATATAAAAAAAGGAAAGAGAGGGAAAAAAAAAAAATGTAGACTGATAGAGAGAGCATTAAAGGTAAAGAATGACACCTATGCTCTCCTGTTCAATCTCTTCCGCCTCTTCCCTGTTCCCTTCGTTGCTGCGCTTACAATCATCATCTCCTGATTCTTCTGTCCAGGGTTCCGCCATGACTTCAATCCTCAAAATCCTATCCGAGAAACTCACATTGTCGAATGCAAATGAAAAATTAGAAGATTCAATATTAGATCCAGCACCAGAATCCGCAGACTCCACCATTGGTCACTGCTCTAAAACACAGGGAAACAACAAGAACAAGGAAACACTTTGTTGCTAAAATTTTATCAACCGATGAACCATAATTCTTGCTGTGGCATGTCAATCGCGTTTATGAGTCGATGGGGCTCAACGTTCGCAGTTGTATTTAGAGAAATTTTCAAGGGTTTTTTAGCAGAAAGAAAATCATAAGCTTCTTCTAGCGTTCAGCATTCGCGAGCAGAGGAACCCTAAATGTATTCTAACACTCCAAAGTGCCCAAAGACTTCGTGAAGAAGAAATAAAGATGGTACCTGAGAAGTGAAACAGGGAAAAACTAAATATGGCATTTGCAAAGTGAAAGTAGGATGGGCCACGACTATGACTGATTACTGTAGAGGCAAGCATTATAGCGAGACCGAAGAATCGCGGAAAAGATATAAAAATAGAGAGACAGACGTGCCTTCGAGAGTGGGAAGTATAAGCACAACTGGGTGCACATGGGGATCAGAGGAAGAATGAAAGAGAGAGTCATGATGAAAAATTTAGTATTGAACCCTAATTCTCCATCGTAATTCACGGTAAACCTCCTTTTATTTTTCTTTCAACACACCGTGCTCATTCATCTATTTCTTTCTCATGTTTATTCATTTTTTTGCCACAAAAACTAGAATAATAAATTATTTTATTTCATCTCAATCTACCTTCAAATATTTTACCGAGCCTATTCATCTCTTCTTTCCCATGTTTATTCATTTTTTTTGCCACAAAAACAAAAATCAATAAAATATTTCATTTCATCTCAACCTAAATTTGTCTAAAAAAAATACAAAATAGGATTAAAACGGTTTTTAAATTGAGATGAAATAAAACAGTTTGTTGGGGCTAATTTTTATGG